TGCTGTTTGAATCTACAAGTTTTTGTGCCCAGCCAGACTGCGGCACTCAGCAATAGTGCAAAAGTGTTCCTTTTCATCCACGTCCTCTCCAGCCTTACTACTGTCTGTGTCTAGATAACTCCGTTCTGACTGTGAAGGAGGAAATCTCTGGGTGGCTCTGATTTGCATTTCCCTAATTCCTAATGATGCTGAACATTTTTTCATGTATTTGTTGGCCTTTTGTATTTCTTCTTTTAAGAAGTGTCTGTTTAGTTCATTTGCCTGTTTACTAATTGAGTTATTTGGGTTTTTTGATGTTAGATTTTTTGAGTTCTTTATATATTCTGGCTATTAATCTTCTGTTGGAAAAGTAGGTAGCAGAAATTCTCCCCCATTCTGTGGTTCTCCCTTCACATTCATAATTGTTTCCTTGCTCTTCAGAAGCATTTTAATTTGATGGTTAGTTTAATTATTAACTCTTGGTATCATTACCTGAGCTTAGGGTCCTATTTGGAAAGTCAATGCATTGTCCTCTAGGAGTCACACAGTTTCTGGTCTAATTCTGAGGTCTTTGGTCCGCTGTGACTGTGGTACAGGGTGAGAGGGACCTACTCCCTCTCCTACACATGGACGACAGTTGTCCTGGCACCGTTTGTTAGAGAGGCGTCTTTTCTCCAGGGTGTGTGTTTGGCAGCTTTGTCAAGGACCAGATGTGTGGGTCTGTCTGTCTTCTATTTTGTGCTGTTGGTCCAGGGGTCTGTTTTTACACCTTACCATGCAGTTTTGTGACTACGATTTTGTACTATAATCTAAGGTCAGAAACTGTGAGCCCTCCAGCATTCTTTTTTGGCTTAGAATTGCTTTGGCTATTCTGGGTCTTTTATTCCTCTAAATGAACTTGAGAGCTGTTTTTCCTAGTTCTGTGGAGAACTAGAAAATGTCACTGGTATGTGCATGGGTTTTGCACTGAGTCTGCCTATGACTTGGTGGGAGGCCATTTTAACAATATTGACCCTGCCTGTCCAGGAACACGAATCCGCTCTAGCCGTCTTGTGGTGGAGCTTTGGGATCTCTTAAGTGTATGACCTTATCTTCTCAAACAGTGATACGTCGCCTTCCTCCTCTCCCACTTTTTATCCCTTTTCCTCTCTTGCCTCCTCTCTGGTAGAATTTCTAGCACTGCACTAAACAGCCGTGGTGAGAGTGGACACCCTCGTCTTGTTCCAGGCTACAAAGGAAGTGCTCTCCGTTTTCCCATTCACTACGAGGCTGGCTTTGGGTCTTCACACATCACCTTCATGATGCTGAGGCAGGTTCCTCTGTCCTAGTCTCTTCAGTGTTGTTTGTTTTTTGAATCGTGAATGTGTGCTGAATTTTGACAAAGGCCACATATATTGAAATGACTAAGTAACCTTCGCCCTTAATTCTATTATGCTGCACTCTCATTTTTAAGGCTTATATAACTAACCACAGAATGATAGGAAAGTTACAAAACGAAATGATCAATATTTGCACAGGCAAATGAGTGTTCCCCTTAAAATATGCTTAAAGTGCACTATTCTTCTTCTTCTTCTTCCACCATTTCAGGGCCATCTGGCTCGGAAGGTTTAAACACTGGTGGACGGTCTCCACAGTCGTGCTCCAGGAACCTGGCTTGGTGGAGAGGCCCCAGAGGAGCAAGGTTAGCATTCCTCTTCCCGCACAGGACTGCCACTTAGCACCTGGTAAGCTGGGAGTGTTCTGTCACCTATTTATTGAAAATGAACCGGGCACTGAAGATCCGCCTGAAGAGAACCCACCAGAGTCACGTTGCTCCTGGCAACAGGGAAAGCATCTCCTCAGAGCTGCGCCTCCCACATGGGAAGTGATGGGCACCTCACTGGGAACTGCACCCTGGTTGGCTCAGAGTCTTGCTCTCCCCCATCACAGCCGCAAGCCAGGAAGCCAGTGAGACCTCGTGAATCACCCAGAAAAAAATGCACCACAGTTTACAAAATAACTTCTGGAATTCAGGAAGCTTGAACCAATCCATGGGTTTCTGGAGGATCAGGGTGAGCAGCTTCAAGCCCGGGGCTAGGAGCAGAGTCCAAGGACTCGGGAGACCAGCCCTGCATGACAGAGGCCCACCCGAGGCAGTCTTCCTGGGGCTGGAGGGCTGGAGCAGCTCCCGGCTGGTTCTGGACTCCCACGTCCTGCCCCAGCGCGGTTGCTAGGCAGGGAGACCTACGCTCTGTCTGCAACACCAAACAACCAAGGCCTTCCCAAGCAGAATGTCCCAGAACAGAGGCATTCAAACAGGAGGACTGTCACGTGAACGTGCAGTGAGAACAAGAACTCCTCACTGGCCTCTCTAGATGATTCAGAACAAGACAGTAAGGGACCAGAAGGGAGAACAGAGCGTGGACTGGAACTGCCACCCCCGAAGGAGCAAGACCCAGGAAAGGGCTGAAGTCCTTGTGCAGACAGAGGGGGCCGAGTCCAGGGCTGCAGCTGGGCACGATGCGTCCATGTTACAGCTCTGACACCCAGGACCCCTCGCCTCCTGACCAGCCGCAGTCCCCCCCAATTCTGTGTGAATCTGGAGAGACCAGGATCCCAGCACCCGCTCTGCCGGCAAACGTGCTGGCCCCCGACCGCATCCCCAGACGTAGGGCGGCAGGACACTCTGAGGTCTGAAGAAGCCCACAGGGTCGTGAGCTGAGTCCCACCTCACAGGCCACACAGAAGCAACACATTTCAACTGATTCGTTAAGACTCTTAAAATTTGGCCAAAAGGGACATGAAGAGTTCCTAACATCATTCCCACAGGGAAACTGGTTGCTAAGCAGTGAGACCTACGCAAGACCAAGACCACAGGGGCACGCACGCACCGTCAGGGTGCTGCCAGCAGGTGGGCAGGAAAGGCGGCCTGCGCCCCGCTGGAGGGAAGGTGGAGCCAGGGTCCCCCGCCAGACACACACCTGAGGAGAAGGAACGGCATCTTGAGGAGACGCCCAACTCCCGTGTCCACGCCACAGCATCACGACAGCCAGGACGTGGACGACCCAGGAGTCCACTGACAGGATAACAGGCAAAGGAAAAGTGCCATTTATGCGGCATGCTGCCAAGTCCCAAAGAAGAAGGGACATGCTGCCCATGAGGACATGGAGGGACTCGGAGGGACCCGTGTAAGTGAAGCACCACACGCAGCAAGAGGAACCCGGCCCTCTCCCACGTGAACGTCGGGAATCGTCCAGCTCACCCTCACCAGGAGGGCTTCCAGGGCTGAGGGACCTGGGAGGGACTTCTTCATGACGACATGGAGGCCTCCCGATGGCTCACGCCACATCCAGGGGGCACATTGAGGGCTCTACCATGTCCCGGGGGGACAGCGAGGGCTCCGCCACATCTCAGGGGGACAGCGAGGGCTCCACCACGTCCTGGGGGACAGGAGGGCTCCACCACATCCCAGGGGGACAGCGAGGGCTACCCCACACTCTACTCACACCGTGCGTGGTGGAAGGAAGGAAGACTCACGGCGACTCTGGGAATCAAATGCAAGACGGACACTTCCCAGGCCCTTCCTCCCCAGGGTTTAGAAAGACTGACTGACCAGCTGCTTTGTGCCCTTAACCCTGGTGACCTCCCCTGTTCCGAGGTCAGCTCAAGTCATAACACAAAGGTGAGGAAGGAAACGGAAGGTGGGGCCGGACTGCGCTGTCTCGGATCACAGGCAGCTTGAGCTATTCAAACACAATGAGGCAAGCTCAGTTACAAACACGGGTTTTTGTCGTTTATTTTTTGGTAACCAGGACTAAACCCAAGGGCACTTAACCACCGAGCCATATCCCCTGCCCTTTTCATTTTTATTTTGAGATAGGGTCTCACAAAGTTGCTTAGGGCCTCGCTTAGTTGCTGAAGCTGGCCTTGAACCTGTGATCCTCCTGCCTCAGCCTCCCAAGTCACTGGGATAACAGGCATGTGCCACTGTGCCAGGCACAAACGCATTCTAAAATGTTCACAAAACAGACATGAATAACTTCGATATTTCTAAATAATTTTAAATGATTTTAAAGACTGTTTTATGATATTTAATTTGCCCTTGAATAAATGTTAATGAGTCATGCCAATCTGAAAAAGGATCTCCCCCCCACTCTCTTCCTCCCTGGTCTTCCTTCCTCTGCTCACCACCCCTCTGTGTGCATGTCACCTGAGAGCCAGCACCTCAGGGGACTTGCAACTCTAGTAACACTCCCAGAGCAGCCTACTAGGCAGATGACCGGCAGACGACACGAGGGGACAGCCAACCAGGCCTGGAGCCATCACTCCCACTCCCATCAACGTGCGGCCTCTCAGTGGCTCTCGGGCTCTGGAACCTGTGCACAGGGACTGACCCTGAGAGGTTAAGGCTCAGCTGACATCTAAGGGGTCTTTGCAAAGTTCTCATGCTCGGTGTTCTAATGGTTCCTCAGTCTGGGGGCAGAGGCCAACAAGTGAATAAACCTAGCCTTGCTTTAACTTTTAAAAGGAGGAGGAGGAAAGAATGACTTTGGAACTCGGGTCAAAATCCACAGCATGAACGACGTTTAGTAAGAACAACCTGACTAGGCATGATGCCGGACGTTTCCACAGCCTCTAGTCATGGCGCCATAGTTCACCTGGACAAGTTCACAGACAAGCACTAACGTCACAGGGAAACCCAGGCAGAAGAATTAAGATGCTGGCCACAGACGGAGTGTGCACAGCGGCCACAGGAGCAGGTCTGACCTGAGACTTCCTGCTGCCTGCAATTCGCGCCCATCAGGAGATGAAGCCCCCGTGCTCACGTGCTTCATGGAAGGGCGGCCTGAGTCCCAGCTGGGGTGGCCAAGTGCACCTCCAGGTGGCCATGGCCTGCACTGCAGGAGGCTGGACTACAGGTGAGACAAGCTCAGGGGCACGGCAGAAGCCTTCTGGACAGCTGTCCCACCAGACCCACCACTGAACCCTCCGGTGAGGCACGGCGGACCCCAACCTGCAAGAACAGCAATGGTGTCACTCACGTGGCTTCGCATTAGGGACCACGGCCAGGCTCTCGGGCGCGTGTGTGGTGGGGCACCTGCCTTGGTGCCCTGTGCTGGGGCCATACTCGATCACATCTGTGTGCCCTAGAGGCACACTCCACTTCAGCAGGTACCTCTGGCTGGCTGTGGGGCGGCTCTCATGGGAGGTGCTGGAAGACAAGAAGGCTTGTCTCAGGAGTGCTGTGCCCGGGGTTATCCTCAGACCTTTCACACCCGGGCCCAGAAAAGCAGAAAACCCCAGCACCCGCTTCCCAGGAAGCCTAAGGGGCAGAGATGAGGCGCTCAAGACCTCTAGAGAGAGATCCCTGGGAGAACAGTCAACCAGACCCGGCTCCTAGAGGTTCACAGTAACCACGTCCCTGCACTCCCCGACTCCAGCGGTTAGGCGCACAGGGAAACTTAGGAAAAGATGTGACCCCACAATCCTACTCCTATCACAGCACCGGACAGACGCAGAGAAGCATGTAAGGTAGCGGGCCAGGCAAGACCCACAGGTGGGCAGCAGGAGCAGCCAAACAGCAAGGCTATGCCACTGGCATAAATCAAATGAAAGGATCTTCACTGCAGCAGAGAGATCACCAGAATCAGAATTAGGAGAAGACCCTGAGGAGAAACAGCAAGACGCTGAGGACCACCTGGAGCAGGGGCAAGGACAGTGAGGACCTGGGGGAAGAGGGGAAAGGATGATGGTGAGGACCCGGGGAGCAGGAGTAAGGGTGACGGTGGGGACCTGGGGAGCAGGAGTAAGGGTGACGGTGGGGACCCGGGGAGCAGGAGCCAGGGTGACGGTGGGAGCAGGAGTAAGGGTGACGGTGAGGACCTAGGGAGCAGGAGTCAGGGTGACGGTGGGGGCAGGAGTAAGGGGGGCGGTGGGGACGGTGGGGACCCGGGGAGCAGCATCAAGGACGGCCGTTCCTGGACACATAGGCACCAGCCACTTTTCCAGCCAGCTCACGGGCCTCCTGACCTTGCTCCCACAGACCCTGCCAGGCGTCCGTCCATGCCCTCATCCCCCTATGCTGACAAGGAGTCTGCGGCTTCTTAGAGAGGGTGCTTTTCAAAGTCCTTAGAAGGTCACTGGGTTGGTGTACTGAGGGCCTCCCTGACCTGTGAGGTCCTTGTGTCCACCAGGGGTCCCTGCTCTTCTGGTCATGCAGCAGAGAGGGGCGTCTGTGGGAGTGCTGGGGAGTGTCTCGCGAGGCTCTGGGAGGAGGGGTCCTGCACGTTGTGCTACCCGACTTCCATGGTGCCAGTGCCCCAGTGGGGCCTGTCGGGCTAGAGGTACAGCACTGGCCTCCCAAATGCTGCAAGTCTAACGACCAGCTCTGGCAAGCCGAAGAAGCTGGCTCCACTCTGCCACGCCTTGTTCTGGAAAGCCCCAGGGAGGTCTAGTTACTCTCAAACCAGGGCCTCCTGCTCTGCCTGTGTGCATCTTCTTGGATTTCCTCAACTTCCACGACAGGCCACACTGCTGAAGTGGAAGAGCCTGCCAGGCCCAGTGGTGCACACCTGTAACCCCAGCGACCCAGGAGGCTGAGGCAGGAGGATCGCAAGGTCAAAGTGAGCCTCAGCAATTTAGCGAGGCCCTAAGCAATTTAGTGAAATATAAAAAGGGCTGAGGACGTGGCTCCGTAGTTAAGCGCCCCTGAGTTCAATCCCTGGTCCAAAATAAAGAAATAAATAAAAATAAAGCGGAGAACTACCAAAGCACCCCTCCATTTCTTACACTCAGCCTGATGTGCCCAAATTGAAGGAGTCGGCCAAAATGTATTCACAGAGAAGCAGCAGAGAAAAGAAGCATCTGAGCAACAACAGAGAACTCCGAGTACAGTGGCGGCTCCGAGGGCCTGGGTCCAGGGCCTGCTCCCCAGCACTGTCTGAGGAGCGGTTCCCAGGGTGTCACCCTCGGCCAGCAGGGCCCCTGGACTTGCTCCTGGCCCCCTCCCTCACAGCTCAGCCTGGGCGGGCAGTGACCCCAGGGAGCAAAGCACCTGGTGTAAGGCAGGCGCGGCCCAGCGTGGTGGCCAGCAGCAGGCCTGTTCTTACCGGGGGCTGGCCGTGGCACACATCAGCACGTCGTTGAGCATGAACAGCCGGCGCTCCTTGGTCTTGACGACTTCACCCCTGTCGTTGTAAACCGTCTCGATCACATCGTCGGACCGGATGAGGTACCGACTTCCACTGCTGAGGAGCTGTATGTTGAAATGACACCGGTTACCACTGAGTCCACCCAGAAAATGAAAGAGGATGAGGAAAGGTCTTCCAAGGAGGGGGCTGCAGCATCAGTTCCACAGACTGCTGAGGAGCCCACGTGCTCCTGCTCACCCAGGTGTGGGGTGCGGGGCTCGAGGTGCGCCTCTCACAGACATCAGCTTCGCAGCTGCCCTCTATGGTGGGCCAAGGACGCAACCTCCCTTTACCTGTCACCGGACACGACCCCCTGAACCTGCTGCGCCCCTCACCCTCCACTCCGGAGCCTACACCCCTTGCTTGCAGCACCAACAACCTGCAGGAGCTCTTCAGCCGACTACTCTCCTGAGCGCCAGGGAGCACGCTGGTGAGCCTCTGAGCTCTCACAGGAGGCCATGTTCTAGTCCCCTGGGCCAGCCGATGAGTGACAGGCCCCAGGGAAGTCCACTTCCAATAGTTAGTCGACAGGGGCTCGGGTCCTCGGCCCAGGGGATCTACCGCCCTCTTGAGCCTGAACCTAGGCCACTGCCTGCCTATACACAGGCGGCGCAGATGCCCGCCCCCCAGCTGGCCTCTCCTGAGAGCCCAGGAAGAGCCAGGCAGGTCTCACTGACGGGCCACTCCACGGTGCAGCGCCCATGTGCCTGGCTCACTCTGCCCACGTGTTCACATGTGTGAGAGCTGCAGGGAAGTGTGACGTCAGCTGACCACGTCAAGAACACGGCTGGCGCCTTCTCTCCTTCCTTATGAATATCCCAACGTGAGGCGCTCGGAGAACTGAGGAAACTGCCGCTCAGACTGCATCCCTGCGAAGTTCTCAGGGTCGGACCACTGACTGTCCTCACCAAGCAGGAAGCCCCTCCCACTGAGGCAAAGTGGGCATCCTAGCAACCCTGACCACGACGTGTGATCACACAGCTCCCACCACACACCTCCCGGGGCCGGGGCCAGGGCGGCTTAACAAAATAGGGGGAGGCACACTGCTGCAGGAAGCCTGCTTGGCAGACATGAACCTGCATCTGCACGGGTCCTCACCACAGCCAGCTCGGACCTGCAAGGGGCACGAAGGCATCGCTGCCCAGAACAGAACTCAGTGAAGCCAGAGAGCTGCTCCGGCCTTCCCGGGCGCGGGCCCAGCGGGGGAGCTCCCGAGTCTAGGAACCCTTTCCCAAGAAGACTCGGAGACGGACAGACCACCAAGGTCTGCGTGAGGCCTCACCTCCGTCCCACCCAGAGACCTGAGCCCAGGGACGGACCCCCGCCCCGTGGTGGGAGGGCTGAGGCGAGGGCCCGTGGTGTGGAGCAGGAGCAGGCGCAGCGCAGGAGGAGCGAACGTCTCTACCTTGTCCAGGTACCTTTCGTTCACGGCTTTGGCTATCTGTCTGATCTCACAGCGCTGGTCCGCGTCCCTCTTTCTTTCGTTCAACTTCTCTGCTAAGGTTTCGAGCTCTGTCAGCGCCATCTGCAGGGGCAGCCTGTCAGGGTGTCCTTTGGGCGTGTTCTTCAGCATGTCCTGGGAGCAAGAGGTAAAAGGCAGGCGGTCAGCACACACATGCTTCCAACTGCTGTGCTCGAAGGCACCACTCAGCGGGATGGGGGGGCGACAGTGTGGCCTCGGCTGGGAGAGGGCTGCAAGCAGAGGGAGCCTCTGGGCAGCTCCTCTCACAACAGCAAATGGTGTGACCAGTGCAAAACACAGCGCTCTGCCCTCATCCCAGGGGCGTGGGAGACTGAGGCAGGAGGATCGCAAGTTTGAGGCCAGCATCAGCAACTCAGCAAGGCCCTAAGCAACTCAGCAAGGCCCTGTCTCTAAGTAAAATATAAAAAGGTTGTCTGAGAAACGGTCTCTAGAATGTGACCAAGCGGCTGGTGCCTTTCTCATCTAGAGCCTGGCACACACACCCATGCACAGATGCGTCCTCGACAACCCTTTCCCCTGGGTTTCCCAGCAGTGGTGAGTGTGCAGCGGTGCCGTGCGGTGCCCAGCAGGGCCAAGTGCCCAGCGCCTCCCAAACCTGCTCCGGGCAGCAGAGCTCTCCGGGCACGCACAGGCAGACCTGGCAGGCCTGCTGTGCCTCTCCCCCAACAGCACCGCCTGCTCCCACCCGTGCCCCACCCTGGTCACTCCCACAATATCTCAAGTTCGCACTGCGGTCCCATCTGTCTGGGGTCAGTGATTTCAATGTCACTATTGTCATTGTTCTGGGGCGCCACGTACTGTGTCCACAGAAAATGGTGATCTAACAGCATCCATTCTGAGGGCTCCCCAGCTCTCCCCGCTGTGTGGCCTCCCCACCTCCTGGCACAGACTCAATGAGACCCACAATGACCCTGCGGGGGCCAAGTGTTCAGGGGAAAGGAAGCACCCGCATCTCCCCTGTGACCAAAGGCACGACTGAGCCTAGAGAGGAAGGCAGTCGGAGCAGACGGCTGGTCTAAACCTCCTGCACCACAGCCACACTGAGGACGTGACGGAGGTTCCCGCAGGACGCAGAGGCGCGGCTCCCGTGAACACAGGGCGGTGAGGGGGCTGTCACCCTTGGGGCTACAGGTGACTGTGTCCTGCCATTCCCCATGAAAAGTGCCTGAGAGCACCATCAGGAGACACTTAGCCACCCTCCAGGTGAGGCCCATCCGCTGGCAGGTGCCAAGGCCCGGCGACTGCCTGCAGGGCACAGCAAGTCTCTTGCAGGGATCCCACCTGCCCTGCCCAACCTGCCACCAAATGGCACACAGAGGCTGCTTCAGTGCACGATGTGAGAGTGGGCTGGCCGGAGCCACAGGACGGAGGCCATCTCCTTACCTGGAGCAGGAGGATGAACTGCGGGAACCTCTGGATGGGCTTCATCATCAGGCTGTAGAGTGTGACCCTGTCTGGACTGCTCTCCTGGCTCTGCTGTGGGGAGAGCACGGCTCACTCACTGAGGCCAGTCACCTGCTGGGCTGTGTGCCCATCACACAGACGGGGTGCCCTGACAGGTATCCAGACCTGCAGGTGGCCCTTACTCCAGGAGGAAAAACATCCATCAATCAGTGGGAAACACTCCATGCCCTCTTCTGGGGAGAGCCTGGGGCCACTGCTTTCCCAGAAGGGCCGTGTTTACCATCTTAGATGCCCTGGGTTCAGTCCTGGCCAGTCTGGCCCCAGGAGAGGACGGCCGCCTCTTCTGCTGCTTGGAGCAGAAGAAGGTCCTGGTGCCCAAGGGTCACCTTGGCCCACTTCTCTGTGCCTCGCAGGAGACATCAACTGGGTTGGACCACTGACCAGCTGAGGCTGTGGGCAGTCCTGACTTGGGGCTGCACCTGGTGTCGTCAGCTCTCCCAGCATGGGCAGCCACACACTGCCCTAGAGCACTGTTAGCTGTGCCACCCCAAGATGCAGGACAGCCAGCACACCCATCAGTGGTGCTGCGTGGCCTCCACACCACAGCCGACACCTCAGAGGCTGCAGCAACGTCCTCAGAGGAAGTGAGATGGCTACTCGTCACGCTTCTCTCCCCCAAGAGAAAGACACGGACAGCCTCAGGACTCGGCACTGCAGCCCGCCGCCTGGGCAACTGCGACAGGCCAGCAGCCACAGGGTCCACTCTGGCGATAAGACAGGCGGGGACACTCGGCTTAGAGGACAGTGCTGTGCACACACCCTGGCCGTAGCCTCCTGCGTGGCTACCTGACCTCACTCCAGTGCCTGCTGGGGAGCCACTGTCCACCATGCAAATCCAGAGTCAGCAGGGCCCTGCGCTTGCTCCAGCAGGCGCCAGGAGGCACAGGACCCCCACCCCGCCACGTGGGGTCTGCCTTCCCAGGGCTCTGCTTGCCACCCTGACTCAGAGGGGCATCTCCAACCCAGAATCTTGCCTAGGCTTCCGTCACCCCAGGAAGGTGGCCAAGGCAGCTGTGGGAGCTGACCTTCATTGTCTGTCCACCCGTATGCTTTCAAGGATGGACAGGAGTTACTTTCAAAAGCTACCTTTGAGGCCCAAAACCACACCTAAGGTTCTGTGGGTACAGCCACTTCTGTTACAACTCCAGGCCTGCGAGGCGGGGTCTGCAAAGGGCACCGTGAGTGCTTCCACGTGAACTCGCCTTCCAAGGGCACCCAAACCCCGGGGCCACGTGCTCACCTTCAGGAATTCCAGGAAAGCAGGCTTCGCAGCACAGGTCTTCTTCAGCATGGCCATGGCTGTGCTGAAGTTGTTCACATACTCGCTGTAGGCATCCAGCACCATGGACTTGGAGAACTGCGGCAAGGGGGAGGGCGACACATGGCGTCCAAGCACTGCCCGCCAGCCCACAGTGGCCCTCCAGGCGTGCCAGGGTCCTGCGGCCTTCCCTCTGCCCACTGTGGAGCTCCCTGTGGCTGGCTGGCCTCACCTCCCCCACTCAAGGCCTCTCAGTGTCCTTATTCTAAACTGTGTTGATCTGGGTTTCAACTGTGACATCCCTCCCGCCCACAGACGGCCCTCTCTGCTTCCTGCCTAGCTGCCCTTGCTGGACTCAACCTGCACTAGAGAGCAAGGATCACTAGGTGGTGGTCCCAGCTCTCTGAGACACAGGCGTCCACCTTCCCCAGGAACACAGGGCAGGACAACAACGCTTCTCCGGCTCGGGTCCCTACCCTGTGCGTTCATTTTCCTAAAGACACACAGGTTTCAAGAAGCAGGTACAGTTGCCCCTGGCATCAATTCCAGAGACTTGAAAATCATTCCATGTTCTTCCCTGAGGATCTGTGTGTCCTCAGAAAGTCAGCACCCCAACCCCGGTAGGGACCAGGGTGACTGCTACTGAGAGAGGCAGGCTTCCACCTAAATGGCAGCTTACAAAAGGCCCCCACCTTAAAACAGGTTTCCAGGGTAAATCTGAAATAAATACAGAACCCAGGCAGAAAACGTAAAGTAAGCATCCAGTATTCTTCTGTCTGCCATAGGATCTGTGAAGGGCATTGCACGGATCTTTTGGTAAGAACTTGGTTTCCACATTATCTTCAAAACATCCTACCAAGAAAACCTGCCTTTCGCCATGAGAATAACATTCATTTAATAAGCACTTGAAAGCTCCAAGCTTACACCCACTGGTAGCATCATTTTCTTAAAGGATTACAGAAACCCCTTTGTTCTCTCCACAGCTTCTAGGGAGAGGCAGGAATCCAGCCGGCACGTGACAGGGAAGACCCCCCAGGGCCGGGATAAAATGGCCCAAGGCTGCCCAGGCAGGAACTCAGTGCAGGGGTTTCTGGCAGCTGCTTCTCCTGCCAGGAAACGGCATGAAGCTGTTGCAACATGACTTTCCTGGCTGTGCTGCGGGGCCCAGACCTGGACCTACACACATTGAGGACAACATCACGTGTCTTCCTACCACACGAATTCTACCTCCCCAGAAAGTGAGACGGAGGCAGGAGGGCCCAGCGAGAGGGCATTTCCTGACCCTCTGCAATGCCACCAACAAGTGGGTCCTCCTTCCGCAACTCACCAGCAGAGCCAGCGATGCTGGTGCGTCCAAGACCGACATGGCACGACCTCAAGCAGGTCCAGGCACACCCTTTGCCTGACCCTCTCTGGCTCCCCCGGCCTCCCTGGAAGGCCCCTGTTTGTTCCCTTGCATGACTGGGTCAGGGCACTGCCACCTCTGAACCGGGTCCTGTGGCTCTCCAGTGCTCTGGGGGAGCAGCCCTGATCCTACATGACGATGCCATGCATCCGTGGCCAAACAGCCCGCGAGGGGAAGGGGACACGCACAAGCCACGGGGCTTTGGGTAGAGGCTGGATTACCGAGGCCACAAAGACGTCGCCAATGGTCTCCACGGCATCCCACTCAGACACACGGCTGGCCAGTGCGATCTGGAACATGGAGTGGCACTGCAGGATCTCCCTGACCCGGTAGAACACCACCTTCCGCTTCCTGTCACTCAGGAGCCGCGGTTCTGTCTCCGACAGTGGCTTCTCGTATTGCTGAAGCCACAGCCAATGCAGCGCAGAGGGTCGAGGGAGGGAAAGAACACCTGAGAATAGCTCAGCCAGTGACCCTGACTTCAAGACAAACGGCAGGACACCGGACGCCAAAACATAGACAACACTTCCAGAGTTTTCAAACTTGAGTACTATGTGTTCATAAATATATAAAACTTACAGGCGCATGTAAAACATGTGTGATTAAAAGTACCTAAGTAAACAAGGATGATAAAAAACAAGCGGTACCTCCAGAATCCTCTTAAGAGCGTCAACATAGTTCTTTTCACTTTCAACAATGGAACCCAGAATATATCTTCTCACAACCTATTAGAAATTTGGAAACAGAATGGGAGAAAATTGCTTCAAATACATACAAATAAACTTTAATAGTAAGTTGAGGTTTGTTGCTGAAAGTAAGTTTTTTTTTGGTACCAGGGACTGAACTCAGGGGCACTTGACCACTGAGCCACATCCCCAGCCCTATTTTGTATTTTATTTAGAGGCAGGGTCTCACTGAGTTGCTTGGAGGCTTCACTACTGCTGAGGCTGGCTTTGAACTCGAGATCCTCCTGCCTCAGCTTCCTGAGCCCCTGGGGTTATAGGTGTGTGCTATCGTGCCTGGTTCCTAAGTTTTGTTTTTTAAACAGTAGGTACAGAAAACCTCCAAAATCCTCTTAAATATTTTAAATGTTTTGTTCAGTAGCATTACAGGTATAAAACACTTCCTCTATTAATATAATTATATGACCTTTTAAATCTCAAATTATAAACCATAACTACAGCAGGAAAAATGAAACCATAGTTCTAAAAACAAATAAAGTCACTAATGTAACAATAGTAAGCTGAATTAAAAATTGTACTTCATGTGCTCAACACCGTTAGATGATATTTCATGTTTAATTAATTATAAAAAACCAGTTGCAGTTTTGATCAAAGAATGCTATTAGCAACACTCATTGAAATCGTTATTCCAAAGTCATGGGAACACAGAGAGCTTGTTGAATGTGGAGGAACTGGTTCTGTGGTTTTCTCTCTGCAAAGACCCTGTGACCATGCAAAGGTCCCCCTGTGAGGCCAGGTGTGCAGGGGAGGAGTCACTCCGGTCACAGAGGGTGCTTGCCTTCCCAAGGCTCACACATCTCCCTGCACTGCCTCTCGGCACTGAAGCCCAGGGAGTGCAAACCTGGGGCTTGAGGTGCCTGCAAGAGGCTGACGCCAACACCCAACACCTGGCATGTCACCTGAGCACTGCAGCAGGAGTCAGCCAATGTGTGGAAAACCAGGCAGGGTGTCACAGCAGAGCTGCACCAGGGCCTGCGTGTGCATGCACACATACACACATGCCACACCTCACAATGCACATGTTGCACCCTACATGCATACATACATCACACTTCACAGTGTGCATGCCATCCCACATATGTGCACACGCTACACCTCACACACGCACATGCCACACATGTACAGCCACACCGTACGTGTGTACACACTTCATACATGCACACATGTGCATACATGTCATGCCACACGTCAAACGTGTATACATGCCACACCTCACATGTGTGTACACACCTCACACGTGCACACTCATGCAGACATCACGCCACACATGTAGATAGACACCACAGGCGGATACATGCTACATCTCACACACTAGCCAAGGTCCTACTGAGTGATAGTGGCTGAGGGTGCTGCAGTGCCACCTGGTGGACAAAGAGCATTTTCCACAGAGGAAACGCCTGCTATTAAGATTGCAGAATAACCAAGATTCATGGAATCATCATTCTCTTTACAAAACAGACTACAGATTTAATTCATAAAAATAACAAAAACAAATCCTTCCAGAACACCTACGGAAACATATATGTTTCTTAAAATACAGGTGTGGCTGGGGTTGGAGACAAACAGGACTGAGCAACCTAGTAGCCACAGCATGACCTTGACCTTGGCTGGCTCACAGGCACGGGCTGAGCAGACTCTGCATTCTAAAATGATCCTCACATCTTCAAATCTCCCCCATTCTTCCTTCCAAAACTCAGACCCCACACACCATCTCAAGGGTCAGGCCCCCTGCATGCGTGTGCACGTGCATCCTGAGATGCTAGAAACACGTGAGGGCAAGGTGCTGAACTGGTATGAGATATTAAAATGCAAAACCAAAAGCAATCTCCCAGATTCCATGCCGCTGCAGGTAACGTCCACCTTCGTGGGCAGCTAGAATTGACATATCAAGTAACATGCCCAGATTGGGTGGGGGGACAGGAGAGGGTCCAGTGTCTTCCCAACAATGAGCAATCCAAGGTCAAGATCAAGGTCGAGGAAGAGAATGTGCAAAACAGAAGGAACAAACAAGGGGAAGTGGACCACCAAGGAGGGCAACTGACTTGAAGGACACAGGTCTGGTGGAGGAGCCAGACCAGGGAGGTTCTGGACCAGTCCACAGCCACCCTGCTGGGCACAACATGCATGGGTCCAGGAGGGTGACAGGCAGGACGCGGTGTCCTCAGAAACCAGCGGTCTTTTTCAGGAAATGAACAAGGGCTTCCTCCATCCCCGGAAGCAGGGCACGTAAAGTATGCTCAGCACACAGCCTTCCCAGCTAGTCATGTTACCTTTTTCCCATTTTTCAAAGGCGAAAAGAAGGGGAATTCAAAAGCACCACCTCCAGTTTAACCTTTAAAGACAAAACTCCCACGGAGAATGCAGCTAACAATAGCAAAATCGAACCACGGGAAGGGAACCTGACTGTAAGAAGCAAGCTGAATGGAAAACACCGAGACCCAGCTCTGGCCTTTAGAGCTGCCGTGCTGTGAGGGAGCACCCGAAGCCCTTCCTCTGCATTATCTCTGTTGGGTGTGTGGGAGATTCCCCTTCTGAGAACATCATGGAATCCTTTACCCTTGCCCCTCCTCTCCAAAGGGCGCCAAGCCAAGAGCACCCAATTCAGGTTTCCTTGACCGATCCCCAGAGGACCCAGTGTCTGCTCACTGAGTCACCTGCCAATCGGCACCAGCCACATCCCCTATGCCACCCTCCTTAAGCCAAAGCTTGTGTAGACACAAGCTCTCTCCTCTGTCCCTTCTTTCTCTCCTCTCTCTACCCTTTCTCTCTCTCTCCTCTCTCTACCCTTTCTCTCTCTCTCCTCTCTCTACCCTTTCTCTCTCTCTCTTCCTGTGCTCTCTCTCTCTCTACCTCTCCCTTTCTTCCCCTTTGGGTTGAATTTCCGGCTCGCCTTCCAATCTCCCTAGTTCTTCCTGCATGGCCAGGAAGACCTCATTAGCTGTTAGCACTGCCACTTCACACAGAGCAGAGAATGGGCTCAAAGGTAGCATGAGGTCCTTGCTTAGCATCTGGATGGCCATCTTTTTTTAAAAAAATAATTATTTTTTAGTTGTAGTTGGACACAATACCTTTATTTCATTCATATATTTCTATGTGGTGCTGAGGATCGAACCCAGGGTCTCGCATGTGCAAGGCGAGTGCTCTATCGCTGAGCCACAACCCCAGCCCCTGGATGGTCATCTTTTTTTTTTTTTAAATATTTATTTATTTAGTTAGTTTTTGGCGGACACAACATCTTTGTTGGTATGTGGTGCTGAGGATCGAACCCAGGCCACAAGCTTGCCAGGCGAGCACGCTACCGCTTGAGCCACACCCCGAGCCCTGGATGGTCATCTTAAGGAAAAAGTTCCACTTTCCTGCCCAAGGGCGTTTCGGAGAAAGGCTCACCACTCCCTCATACCAACCCCATCCTTGACCTTCTCCACTGTTCCTCTCCGCTCCCCGGGCCTCCCCCTCAGTACTAGGGAAACGTCAACCTGCCTTTTGGGCAGAAAATTGACAGCTCCTAGGTATCCTTTTTAACTTAGCATCTTTATGTTGCCTTCCTTGCCTGTCACCGACACATCACCTGTCCATGTTGTTTGGTCACTCTCTCCGTCTATACACTGGCCCATCTCTCACTCACCCCTGACCCTAACTGTCCGTCTGTCATCCATCCATCTGTCCTTCACCTATCCAGCCATCATCCCTGGTTCTTGTATCCATCACCCACCCATCAACCATCTATCTGTCCATTCATCTCTCCATCTGTCCATGGTCTGCACCATGCTACGACGTAGCACAGAAAAGAACTCAAAAGAACTTGGAAAAGAACTCAAACCCCGTCCAAAACTTCATGCCCTGCCTGTAAGTCCCCTCAAACTCTGTGGCATTATTCTTGCTTTTTAAGTTTTCTTTTCCCTTCACCCGAAGATGACCAGATAGAAACCACTAATTTTTTCTCCCTTTGCCATCTATGATCAATTTTAAGACATGAGGATTATTCCATTAGCTCCTGAAAACTGTTTTCATCTTTATTGTGGCCCCTGAGAACATACACTGACTTTACCACATCACACACTGGCTCTTTGTAAAAGTACCACAACAACACAAACTTGTAAGAATTGTTGCTACAAAGACTGCAATCACTACACATTCCTCAAAATTCCACAAGAGATGGCATTCAGAATACTCCAGGACAAAGTGACCTGACGGAGACTGCGGTAAGACCTGGGTCCCCCGGGAGGGCCCTCCTGGGTGCAGCTGGGACCAAAGGCAGGCAGTGGTGACTGAGAGGACGGAGGGCAGGGTGCCAGGACAGCAGGCACCGACCGACCAGCGCGTGAACACTCGAGTGTCTTCCCACTGGCCCAGGGCGCCTGGGCCTTGCCAGCCCGACCCACCTGCTGCTGTGATAAACCCTCGGGCATCGGTGTCAGGACGGCCTCTGGGTGCTTGCAGTCCACGTCAATGAACAAACTCTGCTCCTCATCAAGACCAGACCTGTGATCTTGAGAAAAGGTGAAGATCCATGAATCTCACATTCAGATCATGCACTTAGACGCAGCTCAGAAAAGTCAGCTGTCGCATGAACCTCTCACACAGACATTTCCATCTCTACGTCTACTTTCCTCCCAGCTATTGTTGACTTGCAATTTTAACAACCCAAACAAAATACCCATGAGGAAACTACAGTGTCAATATTTGAAACTGAGCTTCACAAGGCAGAGGTGTCACTTGGATGGCTGGGAAGGTAGCGTGACGACAACTGTTCTGGTTTCTCAGCCTACCCTCGTGGTCTGAGACCAGGAAGCCAGCAGGTGCCGAGACAGCTCGGAACAAAGCATTTAGGTCAGTGGACACTCAGGTGGGACTTCCAGTGTTCCTGACTCTGTCTTCTCCTCAGACGAAAGTCTAGAAAAGGACAGTTTCCCCAAAACCAAGAAGTTCAAACTGAAACTGCAATAATTTTTAAATGCCAGTCTCCACCAGATGGCTAGAAGACAGAGCGCAGGAATCTCTAAGTGAGAGCAGCCTGAGCTCTCCGACTCCGAGACCCCAAACCCTGGCTGCACAGAGACTAGCTGCGGGGCTTCCCACAGACCCCTGCCCAGACTCCTCCCTGGGAGGCTGCAGGGCCGGGGTGGGGGCTGGGCACGCGGCCTCTCTAAGCACTTTTGAAGTGATTCTGTATAAACCCAGAACTAAGTTCGCACTAGTTTAGTGAGCTGCTCAGGGAATGGAGCCAGAGGGCTCGGGCACCTGTCTGTTGAGTGCTGCAGCTCCCCGGCCGACCCCCAAGACCACCTGCTAAGCCAGAGGTGCACCACAGCTCCTCCCATGGCCTGCACCCGTCCCTCGGGGTACCCGGGACGTGGATCCTGCTGGGGCCTGGGTGGGGCCAGGCTGGACATTTCTGACCCACTCCGTCATCTAGGACCCAGACGGACAGAGGTTCTCCTGCGGGCGGCAGTCTCTGGGAGGCAGAGACCCACAGAATGTGTGCAGGTCCCAGCTGCTCCACCTGAGGACCCTGCAGGTGCTGCTGGAGACCAGGCAGAGGCCACCTCCATGGCAGCGCCCTCGCCTGGTGCCGGGATGCTGCTGGCGCTCTCCTGGAGAGCAGGATTTGCAGCACATTTCCTTAGAATGCTCGAGTCTACCTCCTTCACTGGTGAGGCCACAGGGGTCCTGACGGCCCTCTGTCTGGCTAACTCCAATTCCACACAGGGCTCCTCAGCTGTTCCCTGCAGAGACACCTGCTGCCGAGTGCTTGCTGAGCAGGTGCGTGGGGAGTGCCACGCACGCCAGCGCCCGCTGTGTGGATACAGCCATCCAGGAAACAGGTGTTCCAGACCCGTCAGAGCCACGGCGCTCGACGGCCCTCCCACAGCCCAACCTGGTGTCCGTGCAGGGAGGACTCCCTCGGACGTCAGTGACCCGGCCTGCAGCTCACTGCCAGCACGCAGTACTTGTGTCCAGGGCCCCAAGGCAAGACCTAGGAAAACGTGAAATCTGACCCAGTGAAGAGGTCCCAGAATCCCGCCGAAACGGCTGCCTCCTTGGCTTGGGACTGTCCCCACAGGACAACCGCCAGGAGCCTGTCCACACGCAACCACTGTGCAGGCTCAGGAAACTCACCGGGGCCCCTGGCGCTATCCTGTGTAGGAGAGGGCATGAGATGGGGGGGAGCACGGAGTCGGCTGCCCCGAGCCCTCCTGTACTGTTCTCTGCTTACTGTGTGTACCCCTCTGGTGACCTGGAGACCCTCAGCCTAGCAGTGAGGGACCCCTCCACTTGAGGGGGCAGGTTGGGGTAGCTGGGCTGACCCAAACCTTCTCCAGCAAGAAGGGCCAGCTCCAGGGCCACGGACGCCGAGGAAGCTGGGTCACGTGGCACGAGTTCGGGGCCCTGACCTTGAGATATGAGGGACTTGGTCCTGATGAAGGAGCGGCCCCTCTTCACCGCGGCTCTCGTCTTCTCCAGCCCGTCCTTGGTGCCCTCCCTGGCCGCCTTCATGAGCTTCTGCATCTGCAGGGAGAGGGAGTGGGTGAGGCGGCGCCCAGGACTTGGGCCGCTGGGCTGGGTGTTTAAAAGAGTACTGTCAAGTAGGCTGGCTTGAGGCGGTGCCCGAGTCTGGGTTCCCTACACGGGGGCACTTCCCTGGTCGTTGTCAGTGTGTGTATGGCTCTGTGGCTTTTTCTCTCATTCATCTGTAAGAATGAAAGGTAAACAGGGACTTGGGGCAGCGCCCGCCCTGCCGCGGCCTCTGAACGCCAGACCTCACTCTACCACTCTCTCAGACAGAGCTCGGCAGAGCCCCTGGCACTGAAGCCACAGAGGCCAAGCTGGCCAAGGCACACCCGGCACCACGCGGCGGGACGGCCCGCTGCACTCTCGCGGCTCCAACCGCCTGCGTTCTCCGCAGGACCCTTCCTGAGATGCCCATGAGCAGGCCTGGTCAGCTGCTTAGCGGTGCCTCTCTAATGGTCACCAGACCCCACCAGAGCATGGAGCCCCAAGGCAAGGCGGTCAGGCGGTGGTAGACACATGGGGAAGAAGTGAGGGACAAGTAGACGCTCAACATTCCCTAAGGCAACTGCCACCAGCACTCAGGAGCTCTGGGCTCGTGCTGGGACTAACTTCCACCCTTAAGACCTGACACTTGAGGGACTGGCCAGTGCCTGCTCAACGTCCTCCTTCCGAGTACACCCAAGTGACCCTACAGGAGACCAGACAGCACCCTGCCCCACTGGCCCCATGCAGCCCACGGCCCCACCTCTGCCCCCTTCATGTGGCAGGGCATTGCGATGAGCTGGCCGCCCTGAAGGTTTCTCCCCAAGGCCCTGGGCTCCTTCCTATGGGCACCTCTGGCTGCCATTCAACATGTTCACCCCAGTCTGTGAGACGCCCCCACAGGCACCCCAACTCCAGCTTCCACCCTGAACTGGGCCATTCTCTCCAACTACCAAAACACGGAAGCCACTCTCGCCCGCTGCACGCCTGCACAACAGTGGACCATCCACGGCTGGCCAGCCTACGTGGCTTGGTGGCTTCTCGCACAGGCCTCTGCCCTTCACCCTGGGGGGCCTCACATCCACTGCACTGCAGTCCCTCTAAGTCCTGCTCCTTCCTCACCCCAGAGCTGGGCGGCTCCCTGCACCTGGTGCCCGGCCTGACCATGTGGGAAGCAGAGGACGGCTGCCGGACAGGACAGCCCCATGCTGGGTGGCAAAGCAGCTTGGCCTGGGGCTCATCCCTGGCCACATCCCTGCCCGGGCCTCCTGGCTCAGCAGGATTTTCTTCTTCCTGAATGAAAGGTGTCCACCGGGTCTTGTTTCACATGTCTTCTGATCCAAGCTCGGCTAAGTGGGCTGCACTGCACCGCACCCCTTCCACAGGGCCTGAGGTCCCTGGAGGCAACCCACCACCCTAGACCTGCCACCCTGGCTCTGCTCGGTCCTGTGGAGTCAACCAGAAGGGCCTCTTGCAGCTAGGGCTATTCAGGGTATGACACGTCACGCACAGCGCAGGGTCAAGATGCGGTTGAGGGGAATTACTTGACAGTGCTCTTTTAAAACACATCCAAAGAACTGACCTTTGCAATGTCCACACCCAGCAGTTCTGAAACGTCTTGGCCTGGGAGCTATTCTTTATTCCCTTAAAAACTGTCGTTACGAGTATTTTTTGTGGTGCTGCGGCCTCGTGGGTGCTAAGCATGTGCCCTACCACTGAACTACACCCCAGCCTTTCCAAGCTAAAGGAGACTCCCAGGGGCATGAGTTTATCTGGGTTTTATTAACAGAAAGTGACAGCAGCAGAAATTAAAACTGAGAATCTTTGACTACTTTTATTAATTTTTATTTAAAAAGTAAACCCACGACACATCATCTTCAATGTCGTATTTATGGGAAAGTCCTAAATTTTCCAAACCACACAGCAAGGGCCTGTCTTGCCCTTGGGGAGATCTGTGCCTCTGACCCGCTGCCCTGCACACAGGCTCAACACCACCCTCGCAGACCTCCTGCGGCTCCTGTTGCTTGCGAGGCAAGGAGTGTAGAAGGCACACAAAGGCCAGCATCGAAAGCCAGAGGTGCCGGGTGCACCCGAACACTGCTCCAGCCCAGTGGTACAGAGGCCGGGTGCCCGGCGGTCTGCGGGCAGCATCTCTGGCCATGGTTGGGAAGAGCCACACTACCTTGCGCTGGCGCCTGCGCTGCAGCTGCCGCCCCTCCACGGTGCCCACCGTGCTCGCCACCAAGCCTCTCACCTTCTCCTCACAGTGCGCCTTTAAACGGGTGAGGTCATGGGAAAGCTGTGGCATAAAGAGACACAGCTTCAAAACAGGCCCTGCCTGCACAGGGCACCTCAGGGCAAAGGACACTGGCCCCTCTCCTGGGCCCAGGAGTTGTGGCCGTGCGGGACCCACGGCAGCCCTGCTGATGGAGAGGTGAAGGTCTGTGGGCCGGAGACTCCACCAGAGGACACTGCCCTGGCCACCAAGGTGGCAAGTGCACCACACACCCATCAGCACCCGACGTCACTCAGGAGCACCTGGGAGGACAGCCGTGGCCTGGGCAGCACCACGCCTCTGCATCAGTACCCACATGGGAACGCTGCCTGTAGGACTGCCTCCACGCCGCTCCGGCCTCTCACTGACCGGCTGGGCTGGGCTCTTCTGCACTGAGCAGCATCTCAAATGCACACCCCCAAGCCCTCTGCTCCTCTGGGGGCGCTTCTCATGTCCACCAGAGAAACTGTTACCGTGTTTAAACTGAGATGTCCCCTGACTCCCCACAACTCATCGCTGTACTCTGGCACTTTTAAAAGATAAACTCTTAGGCGGGAAACCTGACCTTCCTGTGCACACCCCACCTGGTGCTCCTGGCAGGAAACCCAGTTTGGCTGCCTCGCAGGGCTGCACGTCCACAGGCCAGGCCCGTGCAGCCCTGCGGGCTCCTCCACGCAGGGAAGGGCCGCCCAGTCACTGCACCCTCTCCGACATCCTTGCTGGTGTGCTGGGGGCTCGAGTGGGAACACAGTCCCCTGGGAGGGCAGAGCAGTCGTGCGCTGCCCAACAGGCCCAGCTGCCACGTAAGCCACAGGACAGAACCACATGTTTCCCCCGTGTGCTCCAGGCCACCCTTGAATGCTACACCCGAGAACTGCTCTTGAAACCTCAGCTGCCATCAGGAAGGTCTGACCCAGCCCCGTGTTGCCCCAGTGTCCAGAAGGGGCCTGGTGACAAACCTGAGCAGCTGAGCTGACCACGCTCACCACTGGGTTCAGAGAGCACAACGACTCCCAGCGACCCTGCAACCTGCCAGCCACAGAACGCGGCCTCTGGTTGTGGGGTCACTGGCCACGGCCACTAGTCACAGTACAAAGGTGTCCAGCCTCAGAGAAGGGCCGCATCTGGCCTGCCTGGTGACCACACCCTGGTATGTGGGACTGGACACGCCGGTACCCAGAGACCCTCCCACAACTGGCCAGAAGGCCCCCACCAACAAAAACTGGGCCCCCACCAATGGTAAAGGCTCACTGCAGAGGAGCCTCGGGGAGGAGGCTGCAGCCACGCACAGCCCCACCAGCTCTGGAGTTCACTCCTGGAGGGTTCCACGTTCCTCCCTGGACCCCACCTGTAGGATTTCCACAAAAAACATTTAAAGTTCTCCTCAGGAAAAGGTCATCTCAGGCCGCCTGGGACTCCGGACTCATCCCTCCACACGTCCTGAGTCCTTCCGCCTTTGGGGAGACCCGGGCTCTCAGGACTCCACTGAGGAAGCAGAGCGGCACCCGTCAGGCCACCGGCTGCGGGCCTGGCACACACCGCAAGCAGGAGCCACAGGGCACCACCAGGACCCACACCACACCTGGACAGTGAGCCTGCCTGGGGTCCTTTCAGCGATGGAGCCTATGAAGGTGTAACGTCCCAATTACCTATGATCATTCACCCCACGCAAAGATACCTCGTGTTCTCCCAAACTGGATGTCGAGGTCTTAAAAACAGTCCCATAAGTGCCCTGTGAGTAAAATCCACATCTCACAGCCCGTGCATGTGCCGAGGGGGGGGACAGCCACCCAAGCCTAGACCCACACCTACCTGCTTCTTGTGGCTGCTGCGCAGGAAGGGCCTGGGGACTCCATTCCTGCATTCTGAGTCACTCTGCTCTTCGTAGCTTTCAAATTCACTCGAACTCCACCCATACTCCAGAGAACTGTTTCCACCTTCATCTCCGTTCTCCACGTCGTCATAAATCATTTCATCTGAGTGCACAAACACCAAGACAACATTAAAATGGAGAGGCAGCACACCAGCCTGGCCGTGACTTTACCTCGCCATCTAGCCCAGGGGGGGGACACATCCCAGTGCCTGACACGCTTCTTGGAAAGGCGCCACTTGGTGGCTCCTCCACTGGGCAGCTCCTCGGTGGTTCTCATAGGTCCCCAACCCCATCTGCTTCCCAGGGATGTTGCTCTGTGGGAGCCCCCCACAATGACACCAAGTAACTTGTGAGCAACAGCAAACTTTCCATGAAGGAAAGTCACAGGGAAGTGCAGACAGCATAGAAAGATGACAGCTCGATGATGGGCAGATGGCAGGTGGGCAGAGAGACGGCAGATGCTGGCTGGGTGGCTAGGAGGAGGGGTGACAAACAGCTGCTGACTTCCTCTACGCAGATGAAATACTGAAGCACCGACACAGTGCACTTGCTCCAAACAACTGTACAGCTGGCTTTTATGCTAAAAATGGTGATAAAACTTATAATCTGCTAGTGTATTTAAATGCCTTTTTCACACAGGTCATTTCAGAACGAATGAAGACATGTCATGATCATGTCACCAAGTGCGATGACAAGGAGCTCTCTGTTAAAACCCCAAGGGCCACCCGCGGCATGTGTCCTGTGGATGAAGCTGAGCGGTGCCTCCTACAGTGGGCCAAGGCCTGATGCCCACGAGAGCGAGCCTCCTCCCAGCCAGGACGCCACGATTCCCACTAACAAGCGGCATCAGCAGAACAGTGAGGGGCTCCCCCGCAGTGGTGGCCGCTGGCTCCAGGGCTCCTGGAGGACAGAGGACGTTCTCAGACCCCGAACACATGCCTTCCTGACCCCAACTGTGCGTCTCAGGGGCACACATGGCTCTGCATGAGGCTGAAGTTTACCGAGGACAAAGGACGGAAGGCAGCCTTCTGCTTAGATGGTCACCTAAGGGCAGTCTACCTGGAAGATGGCATTTCCTGCATCAAGATAAATCCGTATCTCTACGACCTCTACCGCGCAACCTCAGTCCTTCACTGCGGTAAAACCTGGACTAAGAACCCTGAGCAGCGAGGAACACACTCCTCAGGGGGAAGGCGGCGTCTGCCTCTGCTGGAAATGGCCACATTAAATCCCTGGACGTTCCAGATCCTCCCCCAGGGCTCCTTCGCCTCCCCCAGGTCAGGGCTTGCTCCGCTGGATGGGTGGATGACGACGTGAACATCTACCCTCTGCAATTCCTGGGTTCAGACTCACGGTTTCCAAAACTGAGGACTGAATCCAGCCCCCACAGCGCCCGCCCGTCCCTCCAGCCGCAGCCCAGGGCCTGCTGGGCCACAAGTCCAGGAGGGATCTAGGTATACCCAGCAGCTGCACAGCTTGAGGAGCCGGCAGGGGGTGGCCTCTGTGGCTCCAAGATTCTGCTGAGCCCCTCAGTGCCCTCCCACATGCTGGCCAGGCCAACGCCACCAGGTAGACTCTAGGAGGAGCCTGGGCGCAAGGGCAGCTGTCCCAGAGCCATGAGGCGCCTGGCCCCTGGGACTCGGAGTCCAAGGAGGGAGTCTCCGAGCTCACTGCATCCGCTTCATTCAGAGACACGGGAGCGTGGAACTCTGAACGGGTGAAAAGGCACAGGGTGGCGGGCACACCTGCTGCCTACCCAGACACCTGCCCGGAGGCCTCACTGGTCTCACTAGTGACTGCTGCCCGTCTAGCTGACCAGCCTCGGTCCTCCAGGTCAGCACAGGTCACTCCTGCTGGTGCTGTCCCGAAGGACACGTGCACCACCAGCGCTGACCCGTGCCCGTGGCTGGACACTGCCGAGTCCACACTCAGCCTGTCTGGGCTCATCTGCTCTGTGCTTCCTGAGCTTCCCCACCTCTTGCCCTTTACCAGTCGTGCTGGGCCCTGGGCCATGAGTTTCTGGAGGTCCACCTGCGGGGGCCACAGGTTCTCAAGCATGGCCTGACTGTTCATGCCAAGCCTCACGTGTGGGCACCGCATCCCCACTGCCATGGCGTCAGCAGGTGGTCCTGAGGGCAGAGTTCTCAGCGTGTGATCAGGGCCCTTCGTAGGGAGACCCAGGGAGCAGCCTGCCTCCTCCGCTGAGGACGCAGGGAGAAGGCAGAGTACAACCAGGGGGGGCCCTGACACCAACCTGCACACAACCGTTGCCTCCTGTCTCTAAGACACCCAGGCTACTGCATTCTGTCACAGTGGCCCAAAGGGCTGAAACAGACGTGAGCCACTACCCAGGAAATACCGACGTGTTCTTCAAAACCTCGGGGCCAGCAAGACACTCGAGGCAAAGAGCATCAGCTCCAGTGGGCAGCACGATCCCGGCCAGGGAAGTGTCGTGCTGACCTCAGAGGACCATCTGGAACAAGATACTTTCAGACCTTGAAAAAGACACGAAGACACTTGGCTCCCACAGCCACAAGGTTTTGGGAATGTTTGTGAGCAGAATTTCCTTGCAAGGAGAACCAGGGGAGTTGGTCCCTGAGCATCAACTCTCTGCAGTGCTGTCCTCACAAAGGGGGCACAGGCCAACCAGGACCACAGCCATCCCTGGCAGCCACCTCCTGGCAGACCCAGGGCATATTAGCTCGAGTCCTGTGTAAGCACAGGCTACCTGGCAGGGCCAGTGACCCTACCAGGTAGATGAGCTGGCCTGTAGGCAGTGAGCTGGGGCCCCCCTTATTTGCACTTACATAAATCACCTGCTCCAGGCAATGGCCCTTATCAAGAGGCCCAGGTGGGACTGTTGGCCTGCAGGGGAATCCTGAGAGGGGCACAGCTCCTCCTGGGGTGGACAGGCCCCAGGCTCTCCAGAAATGGATGAACTAATGAGTATCCGACACTCCACCTCTGGAAGTCTGACGGATTTCAGGAACACATTCCTGGTCAGGCTGGGAAAGGCCCTTCTCCTGTCGTCTTCCCAACGGCCACTGAAGTGCGTTTGCCCTCACCCTGTAGAAAGGACCTGACTCCCAGGACACACCCACCGGGCTAAGTGGGACTCTGCTTGTTTTCTGGGACACCACTGGACTCATCTCCAGTCTCATCTGGGGCACCCAGATTTCGAGGGAGGGGTTTGCAAGTTTACACTACGTCTTGAGTTTAGAGCCTCGCCCGTCTGCCATCACAGGAACAGGGTGCACTGGAGGGTCGCTCGTTCCTGCAGTTCATGGGCCAGCCCTGTGCCTGAGGACTGTTCTGCACATGAGCCAAGCCAAGGATTCAGCATCCTCGATTATCGCAGATTAATGCTTTCAATTTCAGATACAGCTGACTCTTACAGAAAAACGTAACTTAAGGGTTTTAATTTATCGAGGAAAAGCTATGGCTTCTTCAAATACGGGCTGCACCTACACTCTGGGTCTTCTAGAGTCTTCCCCCGCTCCCCTTCTCCGCTTCTCCCCCTGATGGCACCACCGGGGCGTGCCTGTCTCTACTTTTCCTAGGACTGCCTGGGCTCTGCTGAAACCCTGCTGCTGTGTCATTCTGTTTTATCACTTTCCGGTATCTTCTTTCCTCCCTCCCACCGTCCTTAGTGTACTCTGCTGTCTGTTCTCGTGACTGGACTGTACCCACGCTCAGGACTTTGCGATCCATTTTTAACATATGCTATTATGTAGATAGCTTTATTATCTTAAATCTACCCTACACATTTCTAGATTATTCAAGTCAAATTACTTCTGATTTTCATTGTTTTCAAGCTGACCACAAGTAGCATAGCAGTGATTGATAATTCCCAAAATGTCTGTGGTTTTTACCGATCTTATTGGACTGTTACCTAGGGAGGAGACCTAAACAGCAATCCTCTGACACTCTTCTTCTTTGTGGCACATTGGGAACTCTCTCCATGGCTCCGTGCGTCCTTTCTGTCCCTCAGACTCACCTTCTACGCTCACTGGCCCTGCATCCCGGGTCCTTCCACAGGGGAGGGCTGCCCCTCCTACAGTGACGGAACCAGGTCAGAGTGGGCTCTAGGTATCCTGGGGCTATGCCGTCAGGAAACCCGGGCTCGGCACTGCAGACCCACGACGATGCTCCACAGCGGCCCCAGTGGCCGCCTCACAGAGCCCGGGCGTTTCTTTTCCTACCAGTGACTTTCAGATCTTCTGCATCCCTCTCTCTCTCACGAGAGACACAGTTGCTCTCCACTTTATCCCTCTGAGGACTTCTCCCACTGGCGACTGGATCCGACTCCCGTTTTCCGTGAGAACCAACGTTTGGACTTCTGCAGACTTTCTCAGACCACTGCTACTCTTTCTTAACTTACATTTCTACCTTTAGCCAGACGGGTCTGCTCTACAGACGGTTTGTCATCTAACACTGCACTTCACTCTCTTAGCAGTCACCCATGAAAACTGGACCCTCACAGGCCACAAAGCGAAAGGAGGCAACACAGGAGCCCGGCCAGCCGCAAAGGTGTCCTCAGGGCTTGGTGGAGCAGCGCCCAGGCCGGGTGCAGTGGCACACGCCTGTAATCCCAGCAGCTCAGGAGGCTGAAACAGGAGATCACAGGGCCACCCAGGGCTGAGCCCCACGGAGCTGCCACTGTTACGGGTGGCCCTGGGCTTGCAAGGCTACACGTGCACCTCGACCTCTGCTCACTCCTCTCTTCCTCCCTCACTTTCCTCTAGGCTCAGCACTGCGTCCTCAGAAGCCTGACATTAAGTATGTCCTCAGCATCCACAAGGGAGCAAGCTCCCCAGTCTGTGGCCGGCAGATCTTCCTTCTTGAAGGAACCTGCAAGTCCAGGTTCAGAGAGAGGCTACTCCCTCACTCCCTGGTGCTGTCTCCCAGATGGAGAGGGCTGCCCCCCTAGTTCCTAACTACAGATCCGCCGTGGGCTGCCGGTCCCAGCCACCCTCCACGTTCCCACTGGATTTGGGACTCCGCTCTGCGGCATTAGCCTAATATAGACTGGTGTTTAACTAATCCTGGGTTGAGTCAGTATTTCTGAGAATTTATGTCTTTCTGTCATCCTAGAAAATTCTTAGCAATGCCCCCCAATCCTGATTCTCCACATTTTCCCACTGATGTCATCTTCAGACACAGGCTGGGGCTTCTTGGCCACCAAGGGTCTGATGTCTTTGTTCCTATCGTCCACATCTTTCACTCCTGCTTCACGTGCTGTCCACACATATGTGCATGCACACCAGTGTTCTACCACACCACAGCAGCGAGCCACGGACCACATGTGGAATGTGAACACAGAACACACATGCACCCGGCCCCGGGGTTGTGTGCACGCTCAGGAGCCCCTCCACACCCAGAGGGAAAGACTGCTAAGCTCAGGTCCAGAAAGAGCAAACCTGGTTCCGAGTCTGAATTCTCCCTTGGCACATCATCGTAAATGGCTTCCTCTGGATCTGCAACAAAGGGAAGAAGCTGTAAAGGCCACCCTGAAGGAACCACAGGCACTTGGAGCTCCAAGGGCCACCGTCCCCTGAGAAGCCACACTGGCTTAAAAAGCCACTTTAGTGGGCTTCTTTGGCCCACCATGGGACAAGCACTGCTGTTGGGGAGGACTCTTTTGTTCGGAATGAGAGATGCCACTCTGTGGACAAGCTGTGGAAGGCCACAACAGGTGACCTGTCCTATGACCTGTGTTCAATTACTCATCTCTGCATGGCTCTCCTACACAAGACTGTGGCCATAAAGCCTTCTGATGTACAAGTACAAAGGTGACGTCCAGAGTTTGGGAAATAAAGAGGGAACCACTTGTGCCATGTAAAACAGGAAAGCATTGACATGACCGACGGTCCCATGGTGCTTGCAAGGTACACGTGGGGGACGAATGTCTCAGCTGGCACCTCGTGCACCACTCCTGCTCCGTGAAGGTGAGTTTCCTCAGGAGCGGGCGGCACAGGCCACATGGCACATGCTGTATAAGACGGCAGTGACCGTGGCATTGACTGAAACGTGTCTGTTTCACAGAAGGACCTTGCTAGTTACTTTTCTTTTTAAGTGGGTGATGGCAGGCTGCAGGGTGGGTACCAGGGATTGAACTCAGGGGCACTCGACTACTGAGCCACATCCCCAGCCCTATTTTGTATTTTCTTTAGAGACAGGGTTCCACTGAGGTACTTAGTACCTCGCTTTTGCTGAGGCTGGCTTTGAACTTGTGATCTCCTGTTTCAGTCTCCTGAGCTGCTGGGATTACGGGCGTGTGCCACTGCACCCAGCCTGGGTCACTGTTCTAAAACACTCACTCACTCATCAGTGTTCCATGCTCTATAAAGAAGCACTCCAACTGCCAGGTCTTCCCATAGGGAAACCCAGGGTGAGGCTCCCTGTACAGGGCATGAGCTCCTCCTGCACCTGGCCACCGCTGCCAGAGCTGGGAACATGGCAGCTGCTGTCACTGACGAGCTCAGGGTCACGCGGGCATTACAACTGCAGCCCCAGCAAACACTGCCCCTGTCTGAGACGGGGTGAAGGACACTTGTTCACAGCACTACCTTTCAAGTACAACTCTTCTAATTAACTGGACTGTATAAGTGAGTAACAGGAGGAACTGGGGAAGGTTTTGCATTGGAAATAAAACCACTAGCAAAGAGCCAGATGATGATTGAATTCTGCGATGATCTTGATTCAGCAGCTCCTGGCAGAACCAGCTGGTTAAGCCAGGATCTGTGTTCTGCGAAGGTCAGGAGCAGAGCCAGTGTGAGGATTTGCAGGAGGCAATCCAATGCTCAGCAGCAGCTGCTGAGGTCTCCCCCAAGTCGACGTGCAAGCGTCAGAGGACCGGTGGGTCATAAAAGGCATACTCAAAAAGCAATCTTTACTTTTCATTAAAAATTAAAGAAATGAATCTAGCTAAAACGTGTGCTAGACGTGGCATGCTGGCAGGCATGCTGAACGCAGGGAAGGGCCTCATCCTGGGACATCAAACCACATGTGGAATTGCAATCTGTCCATGGCTGGCTGAACCACTGCCACCTCTAGTCAAAACCGTCCAGGACAAAGTGGCTCCTAGGAATTGCAAGCAAGAATGCCTTGCCATCCCAGCAGAGTGGCCAACATGGGCTGCAAGTCAACATGTTAGTTTCCCAACCAAAGTCCGTACCAAGAGGTGCGACGGAGAGGTGGCAAGTGCCAGATGCGATCACCTGTAGAAACGACGGCCCGTCAGGGAACCTAGGGACATTCCCACCCATTCAGCCTCTGTGGCGCTTTAAATAAGTGAGAGATGTTAAAGCTTCTGATCTCACCAAAGAGAGGGCTCAGGATACTCACTCTCCATCCATGCTGTGTTGGCAGGGTCTGCTGCCCATTGGGCAAGGGCGCTGCCACCTCGGCTGTCTTGATCACCACTGAAAGAAAGCACCATAAAATCAGAACCCGCAGAAGCACCCCACCTCGGAGGAGTGAGCACCCGCCACATGCCCGCGTGTGCACGGCTGGGCCTACTAACTGTGGTTTCCCTGGTATGACTCTACAGAAATCCCATGCCCAAATTCATCCCGACTTGTCAGCAAGTGCTCTCGACCACCTCTGCAAGCAGCAACGGGACTAGCACCACAGGACACAAGACAAATGCAGTCCCTGCCAGAAGGCCTGACTCGCCTCCAGGTCTGCACCATGCTGCACACGACACTGGGCGTTCAAGGCCTGAACCTTCACCCCAACTACCGGTCAGGGTCAGAGAGACACAAGGCCACCCTAGCCCATGGGTGAGTCACAGGGCCTGACAGGCACTTGTATCCTGTCCTGGGCCACGGGAAGCCACTGCAACAGTCCGATCAGACCCACTGGAGAACCTAAGGGGACAGCTTCAAGGGCACCGCTGCTGACAAAAGGAACACCAGGGTGCCAGGCCCAGGACACTTGCATTCTGCTGGCACTTCTAAGGGGAAACTGCAGAAGCCTAACAGGCCCAGAGGAAAGAGGGGACTGGGACAGGGCCAGCATCCAGACACAGAGGAGCAGAGCGCCAGGATCCAGGCCATGGAGAGGCGAGGTGCCTTGCCAGAGAGTGACACGGGCGGGGCCACAGCAGACACTGTTTTACTGAAAGCTCTAATGATAGCTGCAAGACTCTGAGGACAAGACTGAAGGTCTCCGTCACAACACCATACAGCTGTCAGCCACACGCCCCAGGACATCTCCAGGGCCCCCGTGGCCGCCTGACACTGCAGGGGCCTGGGATCTTTGCACACAGCTTCTCCTGCGTGACTGCCGGCATGCTGAAGGAAGGGACCTCAATCATCTACTCGGAAGCGTGCCGTGTGACACGTACGACTGGCTCATTTCTAAGTTGTTCGCTTAGTACTTTAGCACTGTGTGTGGCTGAGGAGACCTGGAACTGCAGAAGGGAGACCGCGGGGGGCTGCAGAGTCCCAGGGTGCTCTGCACAGCCCGCCTCAGGGCGGCGCAGGGACGCGAGCCAGGTCCTGGTGCTCCGGCGCAGCCCACACCGAGAAAGGAGGGTCACTGCACCTTTCAAGTGTGAGAATACACCTTTAAAAGGGTCCATTTAAAAAGTAAGCAAAATCCTGAAGGAAACAGAAAAGGTATTTTAAATCATTCTGAGCGTTTCTGCGTTTAAAGTCTTGTGCTCTGGAAACCCTCCCTTCTGTGGGCTCCGTTCTGGCTCCTCCCCTTCAGGAAGACCCCCACCTCCTGGCTCCTCCCCTTCAGGAAGACCCCGCCTCCTGGCTCCTCCCCTTC